AGGAAGGAAGGAAGAGTCAAGAGGGAGAGAGGAAGGGAGGGAGGGAGGGAGGAAGGAAGGAAGAGTCAAGAGGGAGAGAGGAAGGGAGGGAGGGAGGGAGGAAGGAAGGAAGAGTCAAGAGAGAGAGGAAGGGAGGGAGGAAGGAAGGAAGGAAAGGAAGGAGAAAGATGAGGAAGAAAGGAAGGAGAAAGATGGGGAAGGGAGGGAGGGAGAGAGGAAGGAAGGAAGGAAGGAAAGAGAGGAAGACGCCATAAAATTGGTTTCTTCAAGGAACAGCGGACTATAAAAGCGAAGAATAATAAATAACAAACACAACATAACGCACACAACATAATGTGGGTCCTAGGGAATCTTCACTTTGCACCACTCCCGATTCTTGAAACCTTCAACCAGTTCTTCATCTCTCCGCTGATCTTCTTACAATCAACTTTCCTGGCACATTGGCCCAACCGCAAGCCTTTGGCTGCTTCTCCAGCTAGTTGGCAAGCAGCCTTAGTATTATTATTGCTACTTAAATGGTAACCAACAAAGCAACACGTTTCAAAAAAGGACAACCATCAGCAGAGGAGAACGCCACCGTCCCCCAAGAGCAAAGGCAGGCTGTGTTAGGCCCTGGGAAAACCAGTTGCTGTGCTGCACACTCCGACACACAGGAAATAGCCCCGGGCCAGCTTTCCCAAACCCAACTTATTTCTCCATCTGAGGCAGCGCAAAGCCCCCTTCTTTATGACACACACCAAAAGGCAGAGGATTGGCTGGGAAAATGAGCGTACAGGATGTAAAAACCGGCTGTCGTTCCTGCGCGCGCGCGTTTGTGTGCACGCAACCGCGCTCCACACTGGCTGAGCAGTTTATAATTGACTATCCTCATTTTATCCCGAGTCGGAATCGCCAGCAACGCCCAGTCTATTTGCAAACCTTCATAACAGCTGTGCTTTTAGCTAGCAAAAAAAAATCTCCTTTTTTTTTTTTTTTGGCAATGGGGAAGAGTGTCTTATACTTGTTTGCTTTGAGAGGGGGGTTGTTTTTGTGTTTTTTTTGAAATTGCACCCGCCAGTTGCCACAAGCCACCTCAAAATTCCTAACGCAAGGAAGGGTCCAATCCATTTTGATTGTCCAGTTCTTCAACCGTCTGAAGATGGAATGGCAGCTTTTAAAAACCCTCGGAGTAACGGTTAGCAGATAACGTTTTTAATGTTTCGGGGTGAATTGCAATATCAACGGCACACACAAAGTCCAGACCGCTTCTGACCCCGTACAGACAGGGCAGCTTTCTTCATAACAACCACGTGATCAGGATCCATCTCTTGTGTTGATAAACAACCGCTTCGTGGATGGAAGAGTCCCAGGTCCTTTTCTCAGATGTTTTTCATAGCACCACAAGCTGAAGTGGAGGAACAGGCATGGGACAAGGGGTCCCAAAGTAGCTAGACAGATCCTGGCCTTCGGAAGTCCACCATCCAATCTTCGCAGTATAAAAAACAAGAGTCAGATTTCGTCTCTTCCCAGTTCTCAAGTCTTCCTGCTTCAGGGGAGGGACGCCTCCTTTAGCAATGGTAGATCTCCTGGACGGTGGGCGGCTTCTTCACCTCTGTATCCCAGATGTTGTCATAGCTGTAGTCCTCGTGGAAGCTTTGCAGCTCGGCGTAGTCGTGATAAGTTGAGTCCAGCTGTTCCCCTCCTGTTTCAGGGAGGTTGTAGGCCTGCAGGCTTTCATCTAGAAGAGATAAGGGGAGAGAAGAGCAAGAAAGATGATCAGGGGACTGGAGGTTAAAACATATAAGGAAAGGTTGCTGGAATTGGGTATGTCTAGTTTAACGAAGAGAAGGACGAGGGGGGACAGGATAGCAGTCTTCCAGTATCTCAGGATACTGCCCCAAAGAAGAGGAAGTCAAGCTGTTCTCCAAAGCACCTGAAGGCAGGACAAGAAGCGACGGATGGAAACTAACCAAGGAGAGAAGCAACCTAGAACTAAGGAGAAACTTCCTGACAGTTAGAACAATCAACCAGTGGAACAACCTGCCTCCAGAAGCTGTGGATGCGCCAACACTGGAAGTTTTTAAGAAGAGACTGGACAGCCATTTGTCTGAAATAGTATAGGGTCCCCTGCTTGTGCAGGGGGTTGGACTAGAAGACCTCCATGGTCCCTTCCAACTCTGCTATTCTGTTATTCACATAGACAGTTAAGGATTTGGAGGTGGGGCAGACCACAATCCCTTCTCCACAATCCCTTCTCCTTCTGGAGTTGCAATAATAATAATAATAATAATAATAATAATAATAATAATAATAATAATAATAATAATAATAATAATAATAATAATAATAATAATAATAATAATAATAATAATAA